AAGTGATCCACCCGCCTCGGCCTCCGACAGTGCTGGGATTACAGACATGGGCCACCGTGCCCTGCAAGTCTGGGCTTTTAGTGTACCCATCACCCAAAGAGTGTACATTGTACCCAGTAGGTAATTTTTCATCCCTCACCTCCCTCCCACTTTCTCGCTTTGTAAGTCTCCAGTGTCCATTATATCACTCTGTATGCCTTTGTGTACCCATAGTTTAGCTCCCACTTATAGGTGAGAACCATGCCCTGCCCAAACTTCTTTTTTTAAATGTTCTAATAAAACTTTATTTACGGCTGAGCGAGGTGGCTCACGCCTGTAATCCCAGCACTTTGGGAGGCCGAGGTGGGTGGATCACCTGAGGTCAGGAGTTCGAGACCAGCCTGGCCAACATGGCGAAACCCCGTCTGTACTAAAAATACAAAAATTAGCCAGGTATGGTGGCGCGCATCTGTAATCCCAGTTACTTGGAAGCCTGAGGCAGGAGTATGGCTTAAACCTGGGAGGTGGAGGTTGCAGTGAGCCGAGATTGTGCCACTGCACTCCAGCCTGGGCGAGAGAGCGAGACTCCGTCTCAAAAGACAAAACTAACAACAACAAAAAAACACCAAAAAAACCCCCCAATTTATTTACAAAAACGAGGCTTGCCTGTGTGGTAGAGTTTACTCAGCTTTTTTCTAGAGAATGCCTTGTTATTATGAATGAGGTTCAGTTTTATTATGGCAGGCAGTGAGATTACTGGGACATCTTTTTTTGTTGTTGTTCTGTGCATCTTTATTTAGTCATTATTTTGATAGCTGTGTATCAGTTTTTTGTTTGTTTTTTTTTTCTTGAGACGGAGTTTCGCTCTTGTTGCCCAGGCTGGAGTGCAATGGCGCAATCTCGGCTCATCGCAACCTCTGCCTCCCAGGTTCAAGCAATTCTTCTGCCTTAGCCTCCCTAGTAGCTGGGATGACAGGCATGTGTCACCATGCCTTAGCCTCCCTAGTAGCTGGGATGACAGGCATGTGCCACCATGCCTGGCTAATTTTGTATTTTTAGTAGAGTCGGGGTTTCTCCATGCTGGTCAGTCTGGTCTCGAACTCCCGATCTCAGGTGATCCTCCCGCCTCGGCCTCCAAAGTGCTGGGATTATAGGCATGAACCACCGTGCCCAGCCTCTGTATCAGTTTTGAATTTAGTTCTGGGTGTTTTCCTTACACCTAAAGTGTGGACTTTTTGGATTTCTGCTGAGTAGCCAGTTCAGCAAAGTCTCTTCAGCTGATTATAATGTTCAACAAAGCCTCTTCAGCTGATGATAACTTCTGGCATCACCATTCAGCAGTCAGTCAAACATTAAATGATTACCTATAGGCTTTGTGGAGTTTCATCTCTGCATGTCGAGGCCAGCCCTTAGTCAAGGCCCAAGAAACATGTTTTTATCATCAAGAACTTCTAGGCTCTTGGTTTACATAATGGAATCTTCTAGATTTTCCTTTGTTTGCTTGCTGAACACTGTCATTGTCACCTTGGGATTTCTTTTCTCTGCTTCCTGGGTTGGTTCCACCATTTCTTGGAGTCCACATCTTTTCTTCTCTTGGATCATCCTCCTTTTGCTGGGAGAATATCCTCTAGTATGTTTTTCAAAAGGGGGTTTTTAGGGTGTAAAGATCCCAAGGCACTGCAGGTGTGAAAATAACAATTTTGCACCTTGACTGACAGTTTGCTTTTAAATTAACTTCCAGATTTAAATTAATTTCCCCACAGAATTTTAAAGGGATTACCATATTCCCATTTATCGTGATACATCTGATGCTGATCTGAGTCTTACTGCTTTTAAAGGTACTTTTTTTTTTTTTGCATTTTCTTATTGGAAACTTTTAAGATTCTCTTGAAATTCTGCAGTTTTATGAAGATGAGTCTAAGTGTTTAGGATTTGTCTCTTACATTCAGCCTACTTGTTACTGTGCTTTTTCTGTCCATAAAATTGAGTTCATCATTGTTGTCTTCTGATATTTGTGTCCCTCTTTGATTCTGCCCGCTTTTATTCTCCTCTTAAGAAACTGTTAGACTTGGGCCGGGCGTGGTGGCTCAAGCCTGTAATCCCAGCACTGGGAGGCCGAGACGGGCGGATCACGAGGTCAGGAGATCGAGACCATCCCTAACATGGTGAAACCCCGTCTCCACTAAAAAATACAAAAAAAAAAAAAAAAAAAAACTAGCCGGGCGAGGTGGCGGGCACCTGTAGTCCCAGCTACTCGGGAGGCTGAGGCAGGAGAATGGCATAAACCCGGGAGGCGGAGCTTGCAGTGAGCTAAGATCCGGCCACTGCACTCCAGCCTGGGCGACAGAGCGAGACTCCGTCTCAAAAAAAAAAAAAAAAAGAAACTGTTAGACTTGATGGACCTGGCTTCTGTGGCCTTTAATTTTTCTCACATTAAACTTTTTGCCTTTTCGCTTTGTTCTAGGACAGGGTTGGCAAACTTCATGTGAAGGACCAGATAATAAATATTTTAGGCTGTGTGAGCCAAGGGGCAAAATTGAGGCCATTAAGTAGGTACTTATATAAGAGAGAAAGCACATTTTCATAAATTTTTTATTGATGAAATTCAAGGCATAATAATTGAGTACAATTTTTTGTAATGTGGTTCTACTACTGAGAATGGAATTCTTTTTGGGGGCTAACATTTTGCTTAATCAGGGTTCAAAGTTGGTGATTACCTTTATCAAATTGGTGGCAAATGTTCATCTGTAAAACATTTGCAGCTGTGGCCATCAGCAGCAGGCAGGCATTGGCCAACCCCACAGTTCTCCTTCGTGTAATTCTTTGGGCTCTCAGCTATGTCCTTGTTATTATTCTATGAATTTTTTATTTTGGCAGTCATATTTGAAATTTCTAAGATATCTTTCTTGTTCTCTGTTCTCTCTTTTTCTTTTTTTTTTGAGACGGAGTTTCACTCTTGTTGCCCACGCTGGAGTGCAGTGGCACGATCTTGGCTCACCTCAGCCTCCACCTTCTGGGTTCAGGTGATTATCATGCTTCAGCCTCCCGAATAGCTAGGATTACAGGCATGTGCCATCATGCCCAGCTAATTTTGTGTTTTTAGTAGAGACGGGATTTCTCCATGTTGGTCAGGCTGGTCTTGAACTCCCGACCTCAGGTGATCTGCCCACCTCAGCCTTCCAAAGTGCTGGGATTACAGGCGTGAACCACCACGCCCGGCCGTTTTTTCTTTTTCATGGCTGTCTAGTCTTATTTTATGGATGCAATTCTTCTCAAGTGTCTCTAAGTATACTAGCTAGAATGTAGGTTCCTGTGCCTGTCTCTTCCCCTTTGCTCTTTGGCTTTTCTCTATCATGCTGGCCGTGGGGATCACAGTGTGAGGAAAGGTTGGGGTTGACTAGTGTTCAGAGCATGTGGGTTTTCTTTTTAGTCATGTTTGTTTCCCTGGAACCCTTCCCCTTTGCAGTAGCCAAAATAGAGGTGAGGCTGCTCAGCTGAGTGGCATCTCTTTCTGTATCTCTCTCCTGGTTTGTTTTTTCCCTTTGAGCCTGCCTGAAGGTCAGGGTCAGCTGGTTCTGCCCTGTATAGGCAACTTTTAGAAAGGAGCAGTCTGAAATTGTGACTCTACTCTGGTTTTTAAAGACAGAAAGTGACAGTCCAGTTAATACTGGATATTGATTCGAATCTAGTTCTAATGCTGCTTTTCCAACTTTATGGCAGTTTCTACATCTGTGGTATATGGAATAATAATTGAAGCACTAAATTATTATTCTGAAACAATCTTTTCAGAATCAAGAAATATTAAACTTTATTTGTTACAGGTTAATGAAATAGAATCATATGAAAGTACCATTTTTATAGCCAGAACACTGTTGAAAATCAACACTTTGATTTGGTTCAACCTAATATTTAAAACATTGTAATTGTTATGTTTATTTATTGATCTGTGAATATAGTCACTCTAACCAGAATTTTTTTTTTTTTTTTTGAGATGGAGTCTCACTCTGTCACCCAGGCTGGAGTGCAATGGCGCTTTCTTGGCTCACTGCAACCTCTACCTCCCAGGTTTAAGTGATTCTCCTGCCTCAGCCTCCCAAGTAGCTGGGATAACAGGCGCCCACCACCACGCCCAGCTAGTTTTTCTATTTTTAGTAGAAACGGGGTTTCATCATGTTGGCCAGGCTGGTCTTGAACTTCTTACCTCAGGTGATTCACCTGCCTCGGCCTCCTAAAGTGCTGGGATTATAGCAGACATGAGCCACCGCACCCGGCCAACCAGAATATTTAATTAAGTAGCCTTCCCTATTGGCAAACCATTCTGGAATTTTCAGAGTTCTAAGAGCCTTCACCAGCAACAGATCCAACTTCTTCTTTTCTAGATTAGGAAATTTGCCTTAAAGAAGTGAGGTTGCCCAGAGGTGCCCTGTTTAGTTTCAAAGTGCTGCTGACTCAAACTCATGAGTCCTGGAGGCAGGTAGAGGCACCTGTAGGCTGAGGACCCGTAGAGCCCAGTGTACCCTGCCCAAGCCCCATCTGGGAATGGAGTTATCTCTGTAAAGATCTTGCTGCCTTTGAGCAAGCACTGCAAACAGGGTGGCTGGAACAGCCTTGTCGCGTGTTTCCACCCTTCGTATGAGGCGGGTACCGTGGGTCTTCACCAGCAGCACGGCCTGTTGTCTCCAGGAAAGGGTAGCCCCTCACAGTGCTTTCTGTCTGCTTGTTTAGCTTTGGCATTCGAATGTGCAGAATGGTGGGCTTTCAAATTAATGTCCTTCCATTGACTGCAGAGTTTCTGCTGGAAATGCAGGGAGGCTGCCTGTGGGGTTCGCGTGCTGTGGGGAGTAGGGAAAATGAGCTGATTTACTTTGTGTCTTTTTGTACATGCAGACTGTTTGGATTTTGCCAACAGTTTCTGGGTGCTGCCTGCTTTTTAAACTTTTAAAACATTGTAAACAGCTTCAGTGGCTTTGCAGAAGGAAGCTGTGGTTTCTGGTCTTCCTGTTCAGTCATGTTTTTTTCAGAGGGAGGGCTAACATCTGGCCATATTTTTCAACAAATTCAGAAGTGAATAGAGAATGCATAGTAGCTGTCGGCAGAGGAGGAGGAACCAGAATCTCTCCAAAGAAATTCCTCAAACAGAATTTCACACGGGGTATTCCATGGAGAATGAGGTAGGTGCAAGTCCAGTGTGGAAAGCGCCGTTTAGAATGGTGGTGTGAGTCCCTTGTGGGTGGCTTTCATGGCTGCTTCCCAGGGCTTGCCCATTGTGAGCTAGGGTGGCCCGGTCTCCATGACCCCTGCTTTGGGAGGATGGGGTGGAGGGTTCATTTGTTGGCTTCCTGATCTGAGACCCTGTGGCAAGGGGCGTGTATGGAGGAGAAGCGCCATCTCTTCCAGGTGGGGTGTATAGGTTGTTGCATTCATCCATCTTGACTCAAGGAAGAAGCCACAGGATTTACATCTTCCAGGGAGAAGTAATTTTCCTATGGATTTGTGGTCAGTTGGGACCCAAGAGCTTGGTTGAAAAATTATACAGGGAGATGGTCAAGCAAGAGAGCACCCAAAACTGGAATTCCATCCACGAAACCTGCAACATGAGTGGGGTGCTGCTTAAGACCCCACCAGCATGGATCCTGGCCACCCCCAGTGTGACCTCCTGTGGGCACTAAGGTGCCTGTGTTTTTCTCACTGAAGCAAACAGGCAGTAGTGGGCAGAGCTATGGTTCCCCTTGAAATTCGCTCTGTCGGCCGGATGCAGTGGCTTACGCCTGTAATCCCAGCACTTTGGGAGGTCGAGGTGGGCGGATCAGGAGGTCAGGGGATCAAGACCATCCTGGCTAACATGGTGAAACCCCGTCTCTACTAAAAATACAAAAAATTTGGCCGGGCGCGGTGGCTCAAGCCTGTAATCCCAGCACTGGGAGGCCGAGACGGGCGGATCACGAGGTCAGGAGATCGAGACCATCATGGCTAACACGGTGAAACCCCGTCTCTACTAAAAAATACAAAAAAAAAAGAAAAGCTAGCCAGGTGTGGTGGCACACGCCTGTAATCCCAGCTACTCAGGAGGCTGAGGCAGGAGAATCACTTGAACCCGGGAGGTGGAGGTTGCAGTCAGCCGAGATTGCACACTGCACTCCAGCCTAGGCAACAGAGTGAAACTGCATCTCAAAAAAAAAAAAAAAAAAAAAAAAATTGCCAGGTGTGGTGGCACACGCCTGTAATCCCAGCTACTCAGGAGGCTGAGGCAGGAGAATCACTTGAACCCGGGAGGTGGAGGTTGCAGTCAGCCGAGATTGCACACTGCACTCCAGCCTAGGCAACAGAGTGAAACTGCATCTCAAAAAAAAAAAAAAAAAAAAAGAAATTAGCTGTGTCCTGAGATGCGGGTGCACACCGACTGTGTCATACTCATCATTTAGGCCTCTCTAGCACTGAGGAAAGGTCCTTTTTCCATTGGTAAGCACCAAAGCACTAAAAAAAAAAAAAAAAAAAAAAATGCTAATCTGTCAACTGGCACTGCAGGGAGTGCTGGAAGTTTGTTGAAATTCAGATAGGCAGGGCTGCAATGTGAGTGTCCACAGAGGAGTTCTTTGTCATGGAGCTTGTAGGAGGGGATTTGTTGTAGTGCCTCTGATGTGCACCTTAGGCAGTGTGATTTCTGAGGGATGGCAGATGTCTCTCTGGGACTATAGCCTCTCACTGTCCAGCTGGACAGAATCATCGCTCCAGGTTCCACTGTCTTCTCAAACTCCGGGCACTGAGTTTGGTGCCTCTTCTAGTCATTTTCCCTCATTCCTGCTGGGCCCTCATGTGGCTGTGCAGTTGCAGTTTGTCTGTCTCCCTCTTTAGACTAGGGGTTCCCTGGGGGCAGGGACGGTGGCTCCTACAGCTCCAGTGTCTGGCGCATGTGAATACTCATGAGATGTGCTGAATGTTGGCCTTAAGGATACCTAGGCCTTTTTATAATATTTTAAACATCTTTGTTCAGAGGGAGTTTTGTTTTATTAGATAAAACCCACCTTGTGGTTTAGTCATAAGGATTAAATAATTTGCATAAATGAAAATGCCTGAACCCTGTAGCAGAGACATGCTGGGTACTGCTCAGTGTGACTAAGTGTTCTTCCCTTTCTTCCTTCATAGACTTCTTAGCACTTTCTCCAGAGTAATACTGAGCTCAGTGTTTTGCATGGAGAACACAGCTAGAAGGTATAGTCATAAAATTTACTTTGGTCCCCAAGTAGAGGCCACTGTTTCATGAGTCTGTGTTTGCTGGTTCTTTTAGTGGATTCATTTCTCCTTGTAAATTAATAAACAGGTGCCCTGACTTATAAGTTAGTTTCTGAGAATTTATTGGGTAGACCCAGTTACTCCAGATCCTGTTCACCCAAGTGAGCTGATAATGTTGAGCCTCAGATCTAACAAAACTCAAGACCCGCCATTGGAACCTGAGGGCCAGCCTTGCCCAGAGCCTGAGCCTTGGCTTTGTGTGAGGAGGGCATTCTCACAAGCTAAGCCCTAGTAGGCCAGATTTAGTTTTAGTTTTTTAACTTAGAAGTACATTTTAGGTTTCCAACTTTAAGAGTTGTTTTAAGCTTAAGACATAAACTTTGCAAGAATTTGTAAGGATCTAGGGATCTTCCAGAGTGAGTTTAGAAAGTTCTGTACAGAGCCGGGCGTGGTGGCTCAAGCCTGTAATCCCAGCACTTTGGGAGGCCGAGGCGGGTGGATCACGAGGTCAGGAGATCGAGACCATCCTGGCTAACATGGTGAAACCCCGTCTCTACTAAAAATACAAAAAAAACCTAGCCGGTGGTGGCGGGCGCCTGTAGTCCCAGCTACTTGGAGGCTGAGGCGGGAGAATGGCGTGAACCCGGGAGGTGGAGCTTGCAGTGAGCCGAGATCGCGCCACTGCACTCCAGCCTGGGCGACACAGTGAGACTCCGTCTCAAAAAAAAAAAAAAAGAAAGAAAGTTCTGTACAGTTATCTGAGGTGGCATATATTCCGTATTGATGTCTTTGCACAGCGCTGCATGGTGACTCAGAGCCCTGTGTTCCCTCCTCCTGACTCCGTGCTGTGGATTCTGGCAGGTCCCTTCAACCCTCACAGCCTCAGTTTCTTCAGGAGAGACTTAGGCTGGGATAGACCCCACACCTCACCTTGGTGCTGGGACTCCACTCATGGAAGAGAAATAGCACTTAGCCTGGTTTCCTTCTGGGGACTGAACTGGTCCTTTGGTCTCTGGGGTTCAAAGGTGATGAACAGGCGTACTCAATAAAATACATGTTGAATGGAAGAATGGTTGCCTGGGCTAATCCCACCTTTTAAATTCTATAGTACATCTATAGTACATTCTAGTGAGTTAAAGAACCCATGATGGTTTACTGGAATCCTGATTCTGTACATTAAAAATATTCTAAACCATTTAATTATTTCCCTCCTTCCTTCCAGACAGGATCTCACTCTGTTGCCTAGGCTAAGTGCAGTAGTGTGGTCACAACTCACTGCAGCCTGAACCTCCCAAACTCAAGTGATCCTCCCATCTCAGCCTCCTGTGTACCTGGAACTACAGGCTAATTTTTAATATTTTTTAGAGACAGTTCTTGCTATGTTGTCCAGGCTGGTCTTGAACTCCTGGCCTCAAGTGATCCTCTTGCCTTGGCCTCCCAAAGTGTTGGAATTACAGGTGTGAGCCACTGTGCCTGCCCTCAATTTATTTTATTTTGCTTTTTCTTGAGAAGGAGTCTTGCTCTGTCACCCAGGCTGGAGTGCAGTGGCGTGATCATGGCTTACTGCAACTGCCACCTCCCAGGTTCAAGCAATTCTCCTGCCTCAGCCTCCTGAGTAGCTGGGACTACAGGTGTGCGCCACCATGCCCAGCTAATTTTTGTATTTTTAGTGGAGACAGAGTTTCACCATGTTGACCAGGGTGGTCTCAAACTTCTGACCTCAGGTGACCCACCCGCCTCAGCCTCCCAAAGTGCTGTGATTACAGGCGTGAGTCACTGCGCCTGGCCTCAATTATTTTTTAACTAGAACTTTCCTTTATATTTATTTTCCTTCTTTTTTTAGTTTTAAAAGAGACAGGGCCTTGCCGAGGTATAGTGACTTACACCTGTAATCCCAGCACTTTGGAAGGCCGAGATGGGTAGATCACTTGAGGTCAGGAGTTTGAGACCAGCCTGGCCAACATGGTGAAACCCTATCTCTATAAAAATACAAAAATTAGCCAGGTGTGGTGGTGTGCACCTGTAATCCCAGATACTCGGGAGACTGAGGCGGGAGAATCGCTTGAGCCTGGGAGGTGGAGGTTGCACTGAGCCAAGATCACGTGCCACTATACTTCAGCCTGGGCTGTATAGTGAGACTCCATGTCAAAAAAAAAAAAAAAAAAAAGGCCTTGCTCAGTCACTTAGGCTGGAGTGCAGTGGGCAGTCATAGCCCACTGCAGCCTTGAGCTCCTGGGTTCAAGCGATTCTCTCACGCCAGTCTTTCAGGTAGCTAGGACTACAGACATATGCCACCATGCTCAGCTTTTTTCTTTTTAATTAATAATTATTATTTGTTTTGAGATGGTCTGGCTCTGTCACCCAGGCTAGAGTGCAGTGGTGCGATCACAGCTCAAGTGATCTTCCAGGCTCAAGTGATCCTCCTACTTTAGCCTCCTGAGTAACTGTGACTACAGGTGTGTGCCACCACGTCCTGCTAATTTTTGTATTCTAATTTTTGTATTTTTTTTTTTTTAAAGATGAAGTCTCACCCTGTTGCCCAGGCTGGTCTCAAACTCCTGACTCTAGTGATCCTCCCGTCTTGGCCTCCCAAAGTGTTGGGATTACAGGCATGAACCACTGCGCCCAGCCATCAGCTTAAATTTTGTATTCAAAAGCAACTTCTTTTCCAAAAATCTAAGGTGGCTTCTTGTTCGGAGAGCTCTCCCCCAGCACCGACTGTCCCTCCTACCACCCCCTGCAGCTGAGAGCTGAGCAAACGCTACCTCTGAAAAGTCCCATCATCCTCAGCGGGAACAGCACCTACCCTGCATTCTGTGCTGAATGGGTAGGAGTGGCAGAGGGAGGCTGCAGCAGATGTGCAAGGATGCATTTCTTTACTTAATAGTGTTCATATCCCGCTTTCTAGGAAGGCTTACCCATCAATTAAAATTATTTGAGA